ACTTGACCTCTAACAGGGAGCAGTCAGGTAAGAGCTATCTGAGAACTCTAGGATGGGGGAACGGTCAAGTCCAATCAACAGAGGTCCACAGCACACCTGCTGTGTGAGATGCATGGTATCGTCCAGGCCTACTGAGGGACACCAGGACTGATCCAAGACTGTCCCTCTCCAAGTTTCCAGCCTAGATAAGACTGATGAGGGAGATATACCCGACAACCCTGTGTAGCATGGACATGGGTTCATTTTCTCATAGCTAAGTCCTTATTGAGCACTGACAACGTGCCAGGCACAGCACTAGGTACCAGGGATGTAGCAGAAACAGCAAGACAGCCAGTCTGTTAGCTGTCATGACAGTACTGGCGTCTGCAGCTGGGGGTTGGCTCCCAGAGGTCACCATACTCTGAGCCCTCTTCTGGTATGGGAACACTTCTGGCTGGGACAAGGAGAGGTACAGGAGACTCTGGAAGAATTTTGTTCCCATCACCCTTATCCTGCCAGGATCCCATTTCTTTTCTTTCTTTTTTTTTTTTTTTAAGATTTTATTTATTTATTTGATTTGACACAGAGAGTGAGATCACAAATAGGCAGAGAGGCAGGCAGAGAGAGAGGGGGAAGCAGGCTCCCTGCTGAGCAGAGAGTCCAATACAGGGCTAGATCTCAGGACCCTGGGATCATGACCTGAGCTGAAGACTTTAACCCACTGAGCCACCCAGGCGCCCCAACCAGGATCCCATTTCTGATGGAGGAGAGGATTTTTAGGACTCTAGGAATATCCCTGTTGGGAGACAGGGAGTATGGGCCTTTGTCCCTGTACTTTCAGTAGATGAACACTAAACAGAACACCAGTGACATGCATGAGAACATTGTGTCAGGCTCTGGCAAATCAGTGAGTAAGATCAGCTCATGTTCCAGTGAGGCAGGCAGACACGATCAGGTCTTTCTAGTACCACTGGATAAATGTGTGAGTGCTGGAGTGGAGTCCAGAGGAAGGAGCCTTTAAGCCCAGCCACCCAGGAGAGGTCTTCCTGGAAGAGGTACTATTTGACAGAAGTCATGTGCCATGAATGGGGATCACCAGGTAGAGGAGGCTTAGAAGGATAATGAGAACTCAGAATTCGGTACGTCTCCCATCCCCCATCATTTTATTACCCTTTGGTGGAAACCCTCCTGGGCTGTGAGAAAAAGAAGCACTGTTTTTCAAAAGCATAAGGAATCCTCAAAAAATATCTGTATTTGTTTCAAATAGAAGTGAGCACTGCCAGAAAAACAACATTGTTTTGTCAGAACCTAGTCTGTATTTTTTCCTTAGTCTTTGTTTAATTAAGTTAATCCCTTAGTGGTTTCCCTTGGGACAGTGCAGATCCTACGGGCCATAAATCCCCCACGTTATAAAAACAGTCTGAAAGTACAACACACAGGAAGCCAGCTGGCACACGCACTGTTTGTGGGGCCGGGCTTCTGGAATGCAAGCGATAAGCCTCCTGGTCCTACCACGCTCTGCGCCCTCACGTAGTGTCTGCAGTCCTCTCAGCCACTTGGAGGGGGAATGGAAGACAGCAGTCATTCTGAGGTTTATTTGAAAGAGGAAACTGAGCCTGGCAGTCTCAGTTAATAAAGGGGGAGACTGCCTCCTGGGTCTGGGCACTTTCCCTTCGGATGATTGCAAGGACTTTTATCCAGTTCGACATCTCTCATCCTGGCTGGGTGCTGGAGTTCTCTGGGGAGCTTTTAAACAACCACCGCTGCTTGCATTACCCCCTCCCCCCACTCCCTGGCCAAGCCCGGTTGAGGTTGAGGTAAGGACGGGAGGGGGTGGGGGGCGCCCTGGGCATCACGATTTTCAGATCCGCAGATGGTTCTAATGGGTAGCTAAGGTTGGGCGCTGCTGCTTCTGTCAACCAGACCTTGTGGTTATTTACAGACTGTTCCGTGGGGGTCCCAGCCCCGTCCTGAAAGGAATGAGCATTGCTTCTCTTACCTACCCTGTGGGGAGAAGTCTTGTGGGGAAAAAAAAAAGAGGATTGCTTCAAGGTCTTGGTTCATTGCTTTCAAAAATGCTGCTTTCCAAGGGGTTCTTTTGTAACATATTGGGTTTTTTTTTTTTCATTATTATAAAAGCTCTTGTTATGAGCCCATGTTAGAAAATTTGAAAGCAGATCATTATAAGTAAGAATAAAAAGCACCTCTGCTCCCATCACTTCTCTGTAACTGCCATTAGGCAGGGTTCCCACTGGACACCAAAGGAGGCAGAACAGCAGCCAGAGCAGAGAAGGGAGACCCAGGTGGAGGAGCTCGGGCTCCCCATCTTCAGAGATGGCCTTGGGATTTGGGGGTGTAATTTGTTCCACTGTGCTAGAGTGACCTTTTCTAGCCACAATGCTTTCAAGCAGGTACTTTCTCCTCCCTGTGAGGGAGCTTAGAGACTAGCAAGGGAGACACAGTGAATAGATGGCATATGGATGCCTGTGTAATTGACATTGTGGTACATGCCCAGGGGAGAGATGACTGCTGATAGGGGAGGCGGATAGCTCTGGCTCCGGAGAACAGTTGACGGTCCTCCTATCAGGAGGTTAATTTTTCTTTCACTGTTCCAGCAGACCAGAGCTATTTCAGCATGGAATTCAAAAAAACTACCACTGTTCCCAAACAAAGCAGTGATTTTTATTTAACAGCTAGAAGTCTGTTAAGTTTCACCAGAGCTAAAGAAACTGTCAGATCCTCCTTTTCATCCATTTCACTGAAGGGTAATAAAACTATGGGAGATAGGGGAAACACCAAATTCTGAGTTCCTGTTATCCTTCCAAGCCTTCTCTCCCTGGTGACCCCCACTCATGGCTCATGACTTCCGTCAAATGGCACCTCTTCCAGGAAGACCTCTTCGGGTTGGCTGGGCTTGGAGCCTCCTCCCTCTGGGCTCCACTCTAGCACTCACACTTTCATCTGTGTGTCCTGCTGAATGGAATTGACTTCTCAGCCTGCCTTCTGGCCCTCTGTCATCTCGTGTCAGTTATTCTTCCCATCTTCCCTCCTGCCACCTCCATTGGAATTCCCAGCATGGAATTCAGCTACCAGGCCTGTCCCGTTTTCCTCATTTCTGCACATTTACTCACACTATTCCCTCAGCCCACAATGCCTGTCCCTTCTGCATTCTCTAACGCTTACCTGACAACCTTTTTCAGTCCACCCTTGGCTATGGGGCTAGTTTTTTCTGCCCCAGGACTTTTGCATTTGCTGTTCTTTCAATCAGAAATGCTCTTCCTAGAGCTTCTCATTATTAACCCTTAGAATACAAGCTGGGTGACAGCAGGAACCCCTTTGTCTCTTTGGTTCTTCCCTATATCCCCAGTGCCTGGGACAAAGGGGGTACTTCATTTATTGAATAAATGAAGAATATCCTGTGATTCAGATTTTTATTAGATCTCTGGCTTAGGCTTGTAACTGAAGGTTTTTATTATTAATTATTCACTGTGATTTTTACGTGAGCTAAAGTGGGTTTTTTGGTTTTTTTTGTTTTTGTTTTTTGTTTTTGTTTTTGTTTTTTTTTTGTTATTGGTGTTTTTCTTCTATCTAAATCCACTGGAAATCTCAATTGGAGTTCCCAATTGGAAATCTAGGATATAAATACACTGGTAAGAGATAGAAGAATTTGCATCTATAATTTTCTTCATCTACTTCATTGCTTCGGGAATGGAAATACATCTTTTAGCACTTAAAAGCCAGAGCCCCTATTTGTACAATCTTAGACATAAACATTTTTTAATATAATGAGGCAGATTTTATTTTTAAAAATGATTTAGTGCATTTAATAGAAGTGAAGAATAAATCAGCTTTTATCTTTTTATCAATTTAATATTTTATATTTATCTAAAAGCATAATAAACAATAAAACTCAGTGACATAGGCGATTACATTTAAGCGTAACCATTGGATTCGGGGATCAACCAAGCTTTCTAGTTAATTGAGTTTTTTATCATAGCTTTCATTAGTGATAGCTTTTAACCAGTGAAAACTCTTTTTAACATATTTGATCCCTTTAATGCTCTTTGGTTTTCTCCAGCTTTAATGGTGAAGTCACTGGAAGAGCCAGGTACAACACCAATCCATTCTTGCTGAGAAATAATGTCATCACATCAGCCTGTTTCTTGCAAAGGAGAGACTTAGTCAGTGATGGATTGAAAATGCCTTTAACCTTTTCATCCTCTGATATATTTTTAGTTCGCTCGCGGTAAATGCCTTCCTGCCAGTGCCTTCTCACTTTGCATTTGCGTGGATAGCCAGGGCTCAGCGCGTAATAAATATGCGACTTGAAGAGTTCTGCTAAGAACCAGATATCCATTTCTCCCTAGTAATCTTTGTTACCTCGATCTAACCTCCTTTGGTGTCACATTTTCTTCCTTTGTCAGTGTCTTGAAGAAATAGAGCTTAAGGAGGATTTCCAAAGATCGTTCGGGTAGACAAATGGAGGGAGGGGAAATATTTTCCAAAGGGACAGATGCAGAATTGGGACCTGCCATGTTTGGTGTGGATGGAGTAGACGGTCTTTTCACGGTGCTCTCTCTCTGGCTTCGCCGTCTGCAGAGTGTCAAAGACCGTGCCAGACTATCTCACGTACACTGGTGAGACGGGGATGACAAAGCATTTTTGTTCTCAAACAACAGGAATGGTACTTGATGCAGACAAGGGCAAATGCTTGCTTGTGATGACTTAACAGGAGGCACCAGAATGGTTCAGAGCACTTTCACGAACATGAGGAAAATACAAAACCGATGTTAATTTGAAATTACTCAATGCGTTTCCTAGAGGTGAATAATCTCCACTTCGAAAGCTGTTTTTATTTATACATAGAAATGCATCAAAATGTTAACAGCGGTTGCCTCTGGATGGTAGGATTACAGTTGCTTAATATGTTAAAAGTGATTTTAACAAGTGCTTGTTGGCTGGTGGTGTCCTGAGGGTCATGTCCTTCGGAGCTGTGTTCTCACGGCGCAATTCTGCCCCAGTCCAGGATCTGTGTGCTGCGGAGGACCACGGCTGTGAGCAGCTCTGTGTGAATGTTCTGGGCTCCTTCGTCTGCCAGTGCTACAGTGGTTTCATGCTGGCCGAGGACGGGAAAAGATGTGTGGGTGAGTATTCCCCTACCTTGTTTAATGAGGAAGGGCAAGCTGGGCACAGCGAGGGGGCTGGGGAGCCTCCCACAGATCCAAGTGCTCTCCTTTGAATTTCAACAAAGTGCTCCGTTCTCTGGTCTAGTCGTTAGTCCGAATTTGAACTCTGATGACTTCCTTTACAGCTGAGGCTAGCATGTTCTCATTTGAGGTCCTCAGCAAAAGGCAGATTTCTGATCACGTATGTAAATATAAGCGTCCCTTTATATACTGCCTCCCTTGAAAAGGACTGGGTGGGTTTTCAGCAAACGCGGAGGCTGTCTGGGGTGGCCTGACTTCAGTATAGCTCGTGTGTTGTTCATGAGATTCCCTTGCTGGTGGGCAAGGTTGCTGAGTGGCCCCTCAAAGATGGAGGCAGCCTTCCTGCTAAGCATGGATCTGCCAGAGATGGGCCCAAGGGACCACCAGGAATGAGAGCCCAGCTGTCTGTGAGAAGACACCATTGTCAGAAGAAAGGAACAGTTGCCTCCATGGCAAGCCTGGGAAGAAGTTGCAAGGGCAGTGCTTGGAATTTCAGGCACCCGCTTCCTATCAGTTGAGTGGCTTCCCACTGGGGCAACCCCACCTTGTGTGACCTGGTGGGATGTAGAAGAGCTGGGGGTGGCATCTGATTTCTTCAATGAAGGATAATGGTTCTCCTAAGCACTTAGAGAGCTCACCAGCAGGTCCCTAATGCCACCTCCCAGTGTGTCCTTAAACTCACATGGTCTCATTCGTCCTTCCTCCAACAAACAGTGACTGGCAAGCAATAGGTGTTCAATGAACTGAACTCAGTACCTCTAAGGCAAAAAATCTGGGGGCAAAGGAAGGGAAAGGACTCGACTGACGTCAGAGGGGGAAGCTACTGACTCCAAATCCTGCATTTTCTCGTCCATATCCCATTGTTTTCAGGGGGATATGTTGTGTCCCGTTACGTCTTGCTTCCCGCAGTGAACGATTATTATATTGCACATAGAATTTACATTTTCCAGCACTCTTTGATTCTTAGCTAAGGATGCAGAAGGAAAAAGCCACAAAACAAAAGTATTGGTGGCATCTTCTTAGCAGGTGAGAATTGAGTGGGTTTATTTGCTTGTTTTTACACACTGACGGGAATGAAAACTCCCTCACCAGAGGTCCACAAATGGAATTGGTCTCCTAAGCCTTGGAGGTTTTATTTATTTTTTTCTTAATCTGCGGGTGGTGACAGTGATCGGGAACAAGTTACCACACCCACTAACAGGGGCAAAAGAGAAGTCAACATGCTTCATTCATTTTTATCATGCAAATAATATACTTTCATTGAGGATAAACAGATTAAACAGATGAGCCTTGGGTGATTTATGCATCTGATGAACTGTTGAACACTACATCTGAAACTAATGATGTATTGTGTGTTGGCTAATTGAATTTAAATTAAAAAAAAGGGATTAAGCAGATGAGAAAAATCACTATTAATAGTTTGTTGTATTTTCTGCCAGACTTTTCCCCACACACATATCTAATTCAAGGAGCACCTGGGTGGCTCAGTGGGTTCAGCACCTGACACTTGATTTTGGCTCAAGTCACGATCTCAGGGCTGTGAGATCGAGCCCCTTGGTGCAGAATCTACTTGAGATTCTCTCTCTCCCTCTGCACCTCCCCCCACTCATGCACGTGCTCTAAATAAATAAATAAAATCTTTTAAAAAACTTACAAAAGTGCACCTGGGTGGCTCAGTGGGTTAAACCTCTGCCTTTGGCTCAGGTCATGATCTCAGGGTTGAGGGATCGAGGCCCTGCATTGGGCTCTCTGCTCTGCGGGAAGCCTGCTTCTCCCTCTCTCTCTGCCTGCCTCTCTGCCTACTTGTGATCTTTCTCTCTGTCAAATAAATAAATAAAATCTTTAAAAAAATAAAAATAAAAAATAAAATAAAAACTTACAAAAATATCTAATTCAAAACATTTTGTTAATGTTGAACAAAATGAGGTCATGCTGTTTACTGTGTCTAACATATTTTTTCCCTTACTGATAGTTAAATGGGTGGAAACATTGGGTGCTGTTGGGTCAGAAGGAAACTGGACCATTGGGAATAAGGCCAGTGGATAAGCTTCAGGAAAAAGGGGGAGTGTGTCTGGTTAATCAGGAGATGGAAGGAGCCAGGAAGGCCCAGAGCTAGTGTGGGCAACAAGGAGTAGATGGGGCAAGGGCAGTAGGGGCTGTGGCTGGGGCAGGAGGTCTGCCCTGGGCCTTGGGAAACTGGAGGGTGGTGAGGAACCCAGTTTTCTGAGCGTTGCCACAAATAATTGCCTTATTGTCCCTGTGTGGTAGAGAACCTTGGTGCTCTAGGGGTCCAGAGCTGCTTGGTGGAGCTATGCTGAGTGTAGAGCCAATGGCGGAAGTAAGAGAAACTACAGAAGGTCAGAGAAGAAGGTCATTCTAATGGCCAGGGTGGGGAAAATCTAGAAAAGGAAGGAAGGGTAGCCATTGGACAGGTGTCCAAGGCAAGGGGAGACATGGAGGGCGGTAATGGTGTGGACACGGCAGAGCTCTCAAAGCTCGAAGGCTGGGTTGGGAGGGGCAGCCCTTACTCCTGAGAGTGGGTAGATGAGGGGGAGACTGTCACAGGGATGCCAGACTGAAAGCTAAACAGGTGATCTTACTCGAGGACAGCAGTTGGAAGGGGCTTGTCAAAGATGGAGACTCCAGGTATCAGACTGAGACAGGAAATTTAGTGAAGCAAAGGCTGGTGGGGACTCTGGAAGCTCTCTGTCAGCAGCTGGTCTGGATGACCTGTGTGTAGATGGGAACGTTAAGAATATGGGGACCATAAATCCCAGTTAATCCAGCATGATCCTTGCTTACGCCTGTTGGCTTAGTTCTCAACAGCCCTCCCTTTCGCTTTCGAAGGGTTCTAGTCTGGGGTGACAAACTACAGGGTCACCCCACTTAAGGCCAGCCCGGCTTAAACAGTGGAAGAGACCCACTCTGTTGAAGCAGAGGGTGCCTGCCGGTGTGATGTAGAGGAAGGAATTGAAGATACCAGCTACAAGCAGAGCATTCAGGGCTTTGAAATCAGGGTGAAAAGTCTGGACTTCATCTCTGGAAGAGAGACACTGAAGGGTTTCTAATTGGAAGTGACAAATGTAAAGCCTCATTTTAGGAAACTGAATCTCAGGGTGAACTGCAGGATAGATTCCGGAAGGAAGACGGTGAGGGATGGAAAGACCAGTCAGGAGACTCTGGCAGTCCTCAAGGAGAGGTGACAAGGGTCGGAGTTTGAGGGACGACTGAAGAGATGGAGAGGGAGGGAGTAAGGCGTGAGGAGACGCTGTGAGTAAAGGGGCGGAGGAAAAGTCTGAAATTGCTCCTGAGTTTAAGCCTCCATTGATTCTGACAGATAATGAGCAGTTTTAGACAAGGTGAGTCTGAAGTTAAGGTGGGACCCTGACAAGGACGTGTCAGGAGGGAGGAGAAAAGATTACCTCACCATGAGAGGAGGTTAGAACCAACAGCACAGCTGGGAAGCCACGCAGTGCGTTCTCTTGTAAATTTTAATTTCCATCTAATTTTCACTTTAAATGCATATTTGTGTGTGTGTCTGTTTTGACCTTCAGTACAGTAAGACCTGGGCTTCAATCCCAGTTCTGCTGCTCACTGGTCATGGGTCATTTCATGTCTGAGCCTCTGTTTTTCTCATCCATATTGTAGTGGGATTAAATAAGGTAAGGAGTCAAGTTTCTAATACACACAAGGCCATTGTTATCATTATTACAATGTATATCATCATCATCATCATCATCATCATTTCCTGGCTATCCTGAAGTATGGAGTGAGGAGAGAGTGAAAGCCTGAGCCTTGCTGGCCTGAGCCACATGTAGGGAGCCAGGGGGGACAAGTGGGGCAAAAAAAATATCTGTGAAGGAACAGCCTAAGGTGGGGGTCGGGGAGGGGAGAGGTGGACAAAAAATCAGAAGTCATGGAATATGATGGGAAAGAGAATTTCTAGGCCAGGTCAATATCAGTGTCATCCTCCAGTGAGGCCAAAGGGAACAGAACTTAGAGAAAAAGCCATTGAGTTGAGTCACAGATTCATCTCAGCAAATATTTCCAAACTCTCTGCCAGGCACTCTGCTGGCCATTAGGGACACAACGATGGCCAGAAGCCCACTGATAATGACCAAGAGGGGTGGAACAGAGGGCCGATTTCAGGGGGAGGGGAGGTGGTGGGACAGCGGGGACGGCAACTCTAAGTTATTTATTTAGAGACGTGTGGTAGACATTCATTACGTCCAGCTACAGGTGAAAGGACAAAACCTTCAAAGCTGTGGGTCTAGCACTTTGACTCATCCCAGAGTTATGACCGTGACCTGCATGAAAATCCAATTCTTAGCCATCCTCAGGACTTTTCAAGACAACATTTCCGTTTTTGATTTAGAGGAACATTAAATTCTAGTGTTGGAGTCCCATTTCCCTAACTGCTCATTTCACTCTGGACAGTACTGAATTTATCCCGCATTCAGGTGATCGAGGATGAACTCCCAACCTAGGTTCTCCTTTTGCTTTAATTGAGTTCCCTCTACTTTTCTGCTGTACTTGTTCTGGTATTTACCAACTGTCTTGTCTTTGGGGGTAACTTTGGTCCAGTTTGTATCTTATCTGCCTAAGCAGATTCTAAACTCTTGGGGAGAGGCCAATGAGTGTCATTTTCATCTTTCACAGAGTAGACTTGTGTGTTTCAGTACATCGACGGAGGCTGAGTGATTGATCACCATCTCAAGCCGTCATATATTTTAAAAAGCCTTGTTCCTTCGATGGCTTTTGCAGTTCCAAAGTCAGCTTTTGCATATTAAAGAAATTGTCAGAATAAATGTGTATAAAGTCAAACTCTGAAAGCCGTTCCTCTTCAGGTTCACTTCCTGGAAGTAATCTCTGCTAAAAGCTTGGCTTCTCCTTTCTGCCTTTCTTCTAAGATGTCTTATGTGTAGTATTTGCTTGTC